CTTCGCGACACCCACAGTGAATAAAGAGCCAACAAACAACAGAGCATATTCCATAAACTGACCGAGTCATAAAACAGGCATGGGTCGACAGCAACAACAGGTATAGCACAGGCAAGACGAAAGAGTCATCCAGAGACAGGCAATAGTCCAGACGATGTACAAACTAAGTCTGAAACATCAAGACAAAGGGATAATCCAAGACAGGCTAAAGTCCAAGGCAGGCAGAGAACAGGCAGCACGAGGCAAACAGGCTAGGATCAAGACACGGATGAATAAGGCAACAAACAGGACTAAACTAGACTTGACTTGAGAACAAGGACTGGGAGCTGACTCCGTAATGTGGCTATCGCTAACACAGTGATAAACGTTAACAATACTCTGCCCTGAGTGGTGGTTAGGGCCTCGTATTTATAGTGTGTGTGATTGGTTGCAGGTGAGTCTGTAATCAATGAAATGGAACATGGGAAATGTAGTCCAGGGTGACGTGTAACAGTCTGTGTAGTGTGAGAGTCAATATAATCGGAAGGCGACCTCTGGTGGCGAGCAGACGGAAGACCACGGACAGGATTTGTGACAGTATTGATCCGATACCAATATCAACACTGGTATCAATACTATCGATATTAGGATCGATCTGCCCACCGCTAGAAGAAGAAGAGTTGCTAATGTAGACAAATAACATGAATGTGGCTTCTCCTTTGTATGAACTCTCAGGTGTCTTCAGTTTTGAAGCCCACAAAAATGTTTTGCCGCATTGATCACATGTGTGCAGTTTCTCTCTAGTGTGAATGTTCATGTGAAGCTCAAGAATATGTTTGTACATGAAACTCTTTCCACACTGAGTGCAGGTGAAAGATTTCTTGGCCCTTCTTTTCTTTAAATCATTCTGTTTGGGTTTTTCTCCTCAGATTCACTCAATTCTTCTTTCTCCTCATTATCTTCAATCAACTCTGAAACAAAGTAAAAAACAGTACATTTGTCAGTAACTCATAAAAAAGAAAAAAAAAAACAGAAAAGTGAAAGGACATAAAAACAAACCCTGATATAACAGCGGAAAGCAGACAATTGCACTACAAAAGTTTGTTTAATCTTATGATTGTGAAGTTTCATTAACTGTTTTGTCTGTATGAATAAGAGATAAGAGGGAATGTTTATGGAAACTCGAGGTTTATGAGATGTTGTTGTATTTGGTAAAACACTACTTGTTGGATGTGTGCTGGTTAGACAAAGTCTGAGCACTGAAACACACACAACTAAGATTTTTCAATAAGCTTTGCTTAATTATCTGGCGTTGAGACTCAATCTAACATACATTTTGTTGAAAAAAAAAAGTACCTAGTTCATAGGAAGTGTCCCTTATTATTTGATGCTTCAGCAAAATTATTCAACAGCTCTAAAGAATTTTCCAATTACAACAAACAAAATATAAAACTGTGACATTTTATAACATTCAGCCTCATTAATGAAGAATAGACACCAACCTGTTTGTTCTTCAGTATCTTCAGTGTGTTTGATTCTGCAGGGTTCTGGATCTCTCATCTTCTCTCTGTCCTCTTTAATAAACTCAGTCTTTGCAGATTTCAGCT